CGTCGTGTCAGCTGAACTAAGAATAAGCAACCCGTAATAAGCAGCGATAACGAACCATGAAATCGTGTTCCAACTCGGAGCCAATACTACCAAAGCGTTATCTGTTTGCTCCGAATCGTTGCTCCCATTTTAACTAAGCCAGTTTTAACTAACAGATTATTCTCTCGAATAGGTTTTCCTGTTTGTCGTTCACCACGTGTTTGCAACAGGAGTACGAATGCATTTCACCGTGAACGGCGCTTCTGCGTGTAAAAGAAGGTGGAGGAGAAGGAGCAGGAGTAGCTACCTCCCACGTGGTCTTAACAGTTTTAATGGGCCCTGCTCCCAACTTTGACGAGTAAGGCCAGACAACTCGCCCACGCGTTCTGCGTCTACGCACCGACTTTCAATGCTCCTCGAAGCATGTGCACATCCGATCTATTGTTATCCCTCCTTCCCGATCTACTTGATGGGCGAGTCAAGAAGAGATCGTGTCGTTAGACTTGGCTGTCCTTTCCTCCGAGCCTCCAAGAACGCAGATTTTAGAGATAAAGTTCAAGGTGCGTTGGATGTCGAAAGTCATCAACTTCTTGCTGACTCGCGTCGCTCTTCTCAGCCAAATTTTTGCAAACGTTTTCTCTCGTCTTAACCAGAGTCGAGTCAGGAGTCCTCCGGGTTGGAGTAGCGAGTTCGCGAGATAAAGTTCAAGTTGCGCCGATGCTCGACTCCGTCAAGTGAACCTGGTATTTCGAGGCTGGTCTGATCAGCTCTCTTTCTTAATGTCGCTTTCGAAAAACGCTACGAAGTCTCGTATTATCGCTTTCGAACGCGCATACTCGCTGGCCCCACGATATCTATCGCGAGGGATTAAACACGTTCAAGCAGATGCGTTCAGCGTTTCGCCCAGGCTGTTAACGATTAAACCGTGTGCTAATTATATGAAAGTTAAGATAGAAAGAGAAACGAAAAGCCTCGGTGCTGAGCAATGATGTCACAGCCAGACGACAGCCCTGAGAGAACGTTTACCCCGCGACTCTAAAATAGGTTTATATGTCTATGTATAGCGCTTCGTTAAATGTATTTAAACTGTCGCAGAGTAATGGACGCTTTTGCAGACAGTGACATTGGATTTGCCGTGTGCACTTGAGACACGGATTCGACCGGCGAGTATTATTGCCGATGCCGATTGGGAATCGAACGGCGTGCCGTAGCTGCTCAGGAATATTCATTTAGGTCTCTCGTTATCGTCCAAAGACAGCCCGACTGGGGTTTACTTTGAGGGGTTCTACCACGATAAATGCACCGAACGCTACACTTGCACTTTCTATATTGATCTGCTCGTCCTCCTCCCGGAGGAGCAGTTCGTTCACCCTTGAGTCTCAGGTTCATCTTCCAATGTTCAACATTTTCTGTACACTACGGATAAGAAATTTTCCATTACTTTATTGCTTTCTGCAATTCTATTCTTATACACATATGTATGCATATATATATGTAATTATTTTTTTATAGAAGAGATATTTTTACAGGGAAGAAAATAGATTATTCAGAACGATACCCGACGTACTCTCTCTTGGACGATAAATAAAATAATGATTGGATTTTATGAAAAATTATAAACCTCCTTTTGGTTCGTTAAGAGCCGATGGTGTGCTGGTTAATGGATTTCACAAGTTACTGAATTTCACCGCTGAACCTCGTGCGTAAAAGGGTCTTATTGATTTCGCGTGCAACCACGAGACCGGAATGCGTGTAATTCGTTCAAACCTCCGTAATTATATTTCGATGAAAGCGTACAGGTAAAAAAAAAAAAAAAGAGGAAGAAAAATATGACGCGAAGTAATCATTACGAGTGCACGCAGAGGGCTTGCAGACGAAGTATAATTACGAGCAAGAGGGAAAGTGCGAGGGGGTCTACGATTTTTCAGCTTTCAGGGAAGCAGAGTTTATCTTGCCTGGATCAATATACCCTGGACCCTGTGGTGCAACGTAAACGCCGTGCAGGAAACTCTAGATCCCTTAACCGCGTCAAGTCTTGCGCTTCGAAATATATTCCTCGATTGATACGAGACTTGTCGTGTTTCGTGGCTTTTTATCAAGCTTTGTTCTCCCAAAGTTAATAAAATCATCGACTTTGCTATTTTGGTCAATTCGTGTTGAATATCAGAGCTGTTCGACAAACTGGTTTCCCGTGTACACGTTTTCTCGTCGAGTCGTTAATTAATCTCTCGTCACAGCTACGCGTATAAACGTCTTCTGTGTTCAGTAAATTACCCAGCGAACCCCGATTGCCTTGGTAGGTCGGCTAGAAAGCCGTAGAAGATTTAGAACGATTTCTGTACGAACGGAAGGGGACGATCATTCCGCTATAATCGTCGATATATGGCATAGATCTTAACGATTGTTGATTCTGTTGTTCCAGGTTGTCCAGAATGGTTTAGAAATCCTCACGTTCCTCGGGGATCGAATGGGTCACGACTTCAAGCCTTATATTTCCACTATCATTCAACCAACGATAGATCGACTAGGTAGGTGTCTCTAAGTTTCTTGTACCTATTTGTCTCGAGGTACTCGTAAATTATTATTAATAAAGGAAACGAACTTGTTGCGTCGAAAACTCGTGGAATTATTGGTAGCCACGAACTAAGATGTAGTAGTACATGCTCGATTTGTTTTATAACGTTTCGTTAGCTGGACTTCATCCCATGCTCTTTGCATCTTTGATCACTGCCAGATAAACTATAGATGGAATAATCACGGAAGTTCAACCGCATATTATGAGACGAGATATTATGACAGAGTTATAAATATACACTTGATCGGTCTCTGGAGTTTCGTTTCCTTTAACTTCCTTTAGTTTCTAGTTTAAATAGCGGGAGGTACAATTAAGAATATCGATGATGTCTGTTCGATAGGTGACAGCAAAGATGCGACACGTGAAAAGGCTCAGCTAGTGCTTCTTAAAATAATGGAGAAAGGATGCATGTCTCCGCAACAACTTCTGGACAGACTACGGCCGGCTTTTAATCACAAGAATGCAAAGTTACGAGAAGAAGCTCTAATTCTGTTAACAACAACTTTGAACGAGTAAGAAGCTGCTACGAATTACCGTCGAAATATAGCTAAAAGACCGTCGAAATCATCCAACATACTGATGAATCTTTTTACAGACACGGTGCCGATGAAATGATATTGTCAGGAGTGATCCCGAGTATCGTAAAATTATTGTCGGACCCATCGGAAAAAGTACGAGAAACTGCATTGAACACGCTGGCGGATATCTACAGACACGTTGGCGAAAGATTACGCGTTGATTTGCAGAGAAAGCACAACGTACCGCAAGCTAAGTAAGTGAAAAAGCGAAATCGATTCCTGGCTTCTCGCCTGCATATGCCAGATTAAACAGTAGTTTCTTCTAGACGACTTCAGACAATTTTATCGTTGACCACTCTCTGTGGTTTACTTAAGAGAATACTAATCTATCAGTAATTCTAATCACGCATATCGAAGCGTATCGTAAGCGTATGTTTTATATAAACTAACGTATTTGATCTTGTGTTACAGATTACTGTTGTTAATAGAGAAATTCGATCAGCTGAAAGCCGCTGGCGACCTGCTGCCACTAGCAATGTCTTCGGACGGTGAGTAAATCCATCGAATTTCCTTCTCAGCAGGTATCCAGTAAATTAAGCCAGGAAAGGTATAAAAACCGACTGCCACGCGCGTCACCTCCGTTATATTATTCAAGCTGTATCGTGCTGCCATCCCGCAGCCATGAACGCTATCGCGTCGCGAATACCTTCGCATTCGAGAAGACCAACCTTCGTTCTTTCCTTCCTCGCCTCTTGCTCTTTCACTTGCACACATTCTCCCTCTTTCTTTTTCATTGTCCACGTTACTGGTACACACGATGAATATTTAGCAAGGACCGCTTGTTCTTCAACGTGATAAGAATATTCGCTTAATTCAGCACGGTAAAACATAGCCAATTTGAATTTAATTACGTCGCATTGGCACGTTTTCTGCTCGAACTTCTGGTTTGATTGTAACCAGTGTGCAATTTCTTTTTTCCCCCCAAGTAACAGTTTACTTGACGGTAACTCGTTTCTCGAGATTGATTTCTCTCGCAAATGTGGGCGTAATATCGCCGCGAAAGAAGATAAAAAGGTAAAGGTATGATGCCCGAGACGATTAAGGGATCACGTTTCTGGGCAATTCGTGAAAGGTATGCCGATGGTTTTTGTCGAATACCCGGCTCGTAATACTCCGTAGAAATCATGGTATACCTTATCCAGCGATGCTTTAATTACTCGGACCGTAACCGAAGTACCATTTTTCGAGCAAAGGTGACTGTGCCTGTCGCGTAAAGTGTCATTTTCTTCAACGGGTAACACAATGAGATTACTAATTTGCGTTATCTATTCCGAGATATTACATAATATTACATACACCGATAGCTACAGTGCACTATGCAATATCGGCGGTGTATTGTTTCAAACGCTGTCTGTAATTCATACCGTACTAAAGCTGTCCTGCTTTAAACAAACGGCCTTGTAACATTGTAAGACTACTGCCAGGGTATTCGAATTTCGATTGGAAATATTACATGTCGCCAGCAACCGAATACTTAACATATTAGTTCCAAAGCTGACGTTACGATAAAAAAAAATGCAACTCGATGATGCTGATAGACGGTAAAAAGTATGGGTAAGCCGAGATTCCTGATGAGTCACGATGCGCAGATGCATTCCATTGTATAATTAATCTTTGTCCCTTGATAAAAAATACACCAGTACGTACCGATCTTACGTAACGATAAATCGAAGGAATGTATACGTTTGCTTAAGTAATCCTCGAAAGTTCGATTCGAAAAACTCACTTCGTTGTGTATCCACGAATCTTTTTCAGCGACAATTCAGATAGCAAAATAGAAAAGGTTGTCGGAATATCCTCGATATTCCATCCTAGAAACGAAAATATTTTTAATCGCGACTATAGCTAATATCTCGTTGCGCTAAACGTTCGACGATCCTTAAAAAAATATCTCACCACGATCGTAACCATTTTTATTTCGCGCCTCGAATTTGCAAACGACAAGACGTCTGCGTTCAAACGCAGAATAGGTTTCTTCTTCTCCGGTACTCGATCACGATTAGGTCATACATGGGCTTGGCAGAGGAATTACGGTTCTTCGCTTGATTTCAGGTATATTAATAGAACATCAAATTACCATCTAGTACGAGCATCGATTTTCCGCGTGATTTCCGGTGTCGTTTTCTCACTGTCGTTGGCTAGATCATTATTATTATCGTTGAAAAAATCCATACCCTTTTTACCACTTGGATCCGTCTGTTACTTCTTTATGGAAAGGGACAGAACGAGTGTATTTAGGCCAAAGATTTTTGCATCTTGAACCGCGTTGCTCTTGTCGTATGATAATGCGGGTATTTTTCTCGGTTGCGCGGAATTTGCACGGTGTATTCGCACACAGCTTAGCGCCACGAGTATCCTTGTACGTGGTGTGTGACACGGAAAGGTTGAGCGAACACGGCGCTACGAAAAATTTGCATAAGTCTCGTTTTCGCTCTCTCTTTCCCTGTGACCCGCTGCAAGGGGGGATGCCTGTGTTAGAGGTTCACGCTGAATCGCAATTATACCGTCTGATTTCTCCGTCTTCTTATAACGTATCGTGTATTATACCGAAACAGGTATTCCTTACAGGATCAGTTCATAATTTCGTTCTGATGGTTTAATGGTTCGTTTAATCGATTACTCCTATCTCCGATGGTGAGGTACCGTGTTTTTCCTCCGCGAACCACGATAGGAATCTCTAAGGTGTATTTCTGCGGCACCGGTTTCTCGGGAAAGAGATTATTCACCCTACCCTTCACTGCTCGATCGAAATTAGCACCCACACCGTTCAGCTTGAACTCGCCTTCTTATTGTGCGACCTTACCCTGAGGACAGCGCGCGAGACGCGTGTACACGTGCACGGGAGAAGTGAAAGGTAGGGTGGTAACGCAGATTTATCTTCACCGTGCTCAGTTTTACGGTGCACCGTTCTGTTGTGTGTGCATGATCAGATATTAAACGCGGAATAGCGCACGGATGCCCTTTTTATCCTCTCCTGTCGACTCTCGCTGACATTCTGCGCGAGCTAAACAACGTTCACGCTTAGCCTATTGACAAAAGCCGCGATTTTAGAGAGACCAGCATCGTCGTGCTCCCGGTGGATAGCGGGTACTAGCATCGGAACGCAAGAAAATTGAAAGTAACGGCCTGGCTGGGAAGATTCATCGTTCATTGTACACGCTTTCTTGTAGCTCCGGCAATATCGGTGTGAAGAAAGTGTATCGTATGTGTAAACGATCTCTTGCTTCTCCAAATCAAGCAAAACGTCTTCCCCTCGGCCGGCTCTGAACGAAAAAAAGATTAACCGGCTAATTACCTTAATGGGGTAATAATTGTTTGCTTGACCCGCGACGCGGCTTGCCTGCAACGATAAAACCATGTATTCCACAGATAATGTGTACAGAATGTGTACGTAGTATTATGTAATCGCGAGGATAGCATTATCGTATTTGAAGCGTGCTGTTCGCGTGGACGATTCTTCTTCGTCTTCTTCTTCTTTTTCTTCTTCTTCTTCTTCTTCTTCTTCTTCTTCTCCTTCTCCTTAGCAACATTTAACAACTGTTCCATGGAATTGTCATTGATCGCTTTTCTTTTCCTTCGATGACTCTCGCGTCGTAGGTACAGGAGCTGTTAGCGAAACAATGAGAGTCGCGCGCAGGAAGACACACGAGACATCGGATTCTCTTCCCTTTTCTCTCTCGATTCAGCTTTCTTCGATGGGAAATCGGAAGCAGCGACGTATCTTGTCGATGGATAAGAACAATAAATAACGTTACTTTCACCAATGAATGACAGACGCTGTAAATACGATTTCCGAAGAAATTACCGTGACTGTATCTCGTTTTCTATCCATAATTTATTCCGCGCTCGATCCGTATTGAATTTCTAAAGCGGCAAAGTGGTGGTTCGCTGAAGCTCGCCGAATCGAAGGTATAATTCGCTCTGAAACTATAAGCACGCTCTATGTTAATTACATCGATGATCGTAATTACTAATATTTTCGTCATGCATGTAAAGGCGGACGTAATAATGAATACCTAGCCCCAAAGGGAAAACGGTCGACCAACTTTTCTATCCTTTGAAATTGTCATTCACTTTAAAGGAATCGCTCTGACCTACAAAGCGATTGCCGCGCCTCTCCGAGGCGCTCTCGGTAGCGCATTTAAAACGATATGAATCAATATGAGAGTGCATGCACTGGATAATTTAAAGGTTGCCTCTTTTTAAGCGTGGAACGAAGATTAAGCAGACGTTAATTGCATCTTTAATTCGGAACATGTTATTACGGCCCTGGCGTAGTAGCTGTGCCACAGATTATTTCTTCATCGATGCTTTATCGGTGTGCCGGACCTCCTTTTTCACGGTCCTGTTTGCATTAACTTCGTGCAGCGCCATGGTGGGGAGATCTCGATGACGGTACATGCGGCGGCTTATTACAGATAAACATTGTAATTGCACGACGATCCACTTACTTTCCTTCCCATGCTGCGGTAGAGCTCGAATTTAATTATACCTCGACACACCACCGTTCGCGTTAATTGTGAATCGTCAGAATCTTTTGTTGCGTCAACCCGGCAGCTGGCAGCGGCTGAATTTTCGACAGGGGGTATAACATCCTTAATGTTACCTCATCTAGAGGTTCGACACGAACCCATCTCAGCAACAATTTTACCTTATTCATTGCACGACCCGTTTCTTACTTGAATCAACATTAATCTTCGTTACTCTCCCTTCTCGTATCGTCGATCCTCCAGACTGCGCGTGGAAATGTTCAAACGCCTGTAAATTGAATGAAACCGCATTAATCAGTCACTTGTTTTACACCTGGACCGGGGACAATTTGTCGATGCTTTCGCAATCGGGTCAATCCGCTCGTATTCGTTCGGCTTTTTTATTTCCATTCGACCGCGAATGCAGCGCACATTTAATTATACCTTTCATTTGTGATAAATCAATCGATAACGCGAACTTAATTTAAAAACTTGGACGCGCCGAATATGGAGAGCGAGATGGTAAGGCGAAAAACGGTTAGAAAACCACTATATATCGCTATATATCCTCTGGTCTAATTTGCGTTGCGTAACACTTAAGGATAAAGTTTACTTTTTCAAACGCGGCATTCCAAGATGGCCGACAATCGGATTTCCCGCCGTTTACTTACCGCTCCATGTTTGCATAGAGGATATTTAAAGTCGCGCAAAAAATGGCCGCGGATTGTCTAATGTTTTCGATACGTAACCGAGAGATGGATTCTCGGATGTTATGGGTCTCTCGCTTTGGCCCCCATCGAGGGGCACCCGATAGGGGAAGGTCCCCTTCCTCCTGTCCGACTTTAGTCGAGTCTCGCGACGGTAAGCAGCGCTTACGGGAGTTTGTAAACGAGTCGCCATTTAGCAACGTGAGAGACGCGTGTCTCTGAAAGCTAGGTTTTAAAGTAGTTTCGCTAGATTCGCCGAGAAAACGTACCCAGAATCGTGACGGGCTGCTCGGTGATCTTGATCGTATTTTTTTCTGTGTCACGGGCCGAACACGATCTGGCCGGGAGTGTGACGCGTTCTAAGCGATACGTGTTGCTGCCGTTCACGGACAATGGGCAAGGACGATCGTTTCAGTTTCTCTCGCCACGTTTGTTTACCTGATCAGACGCAGCTGCGACGAAATACGTCGTTACGACAATATCTCGCCGGTAGAGTCCCGCGAATGATTGATTCGTCGTAGGACCGTCCGCTATGACAGTTGCCCTCGAATGTTCCAACGAGACCGCGACGTTTTACGAATTATCGCTGAGTGCACTTGTGACGCTAGTTCGATATTGCGCGATAACGAATGCACCGAGGTAGTGCAGCGTTGACGTGTGCAAGAAAAGGATAAATACCGACGTGTGCGTCCGTTGTTCCGATAAAAGTGCCAATTCTTTTGTTCGTCTTGTTGCGATGGTTTAACGGGCACGTGCCGTTCGAAAAAATACGAAGAAGCTATCGACAATCGTGTCCTGGAAAACAGTCATCGTGACTGACGTGTTTCGAGATCGAGAAACGTGGAACGCGAATAAATTTTTTCATCGTCCAACGGTTGATTTCTTTCCGCTGAAAGCGGATCATCGAATTGACACGTTACAAAGATCGACGTGTTTCCAATGTAAACCTGCCTCGAAAGAATCTTACGATAGGAAGAAATATTCCGATTCTCTGATTCGGTATAAAATTAGCGTTGAGAAAACTAATCACGCGATCGAATTATTAATGAACTTTCACAGGAGAGTGATGGACGAGTGGCTTCGCTTTCGTCGAATCTGAAGAAAATTTTCTTAACCTATCCTCGATTTTCCTCCGCCTCGCGGAGAACGTGTAATGTATAGACATCTCGGTATCTCGACGAAGGTGATTTCTTCAAGCGATAAACCGAGGATCTTTGTACGATCTTCGTTATCGGTATAATAAAGCATAAATAAATGTTCGTGCTTGTACACGTGTGTGCTAATGGATTACGCGTAAGTGCCCGTGGAGTGTGTTTGTGACGCAATGATCCTTGGAAATGCAATTTATTTTTCTTTTCCAACTACGTCGTCGATTGTTTCATTGTAAGTTGCAGAAAAATTCTTACACAAAACGGAAACGTTGAACACCGTTGAGTAAATCTCGACTAACCAAACGTAACGAGGATGCCACGCGTTTTATCTGTAACGTGAGAAAATAACTCTCTCGTGTCTCATTGCTGCGCTTATTACGAGTGATATCGCAAATGCAAATCTAGGTTCTCACCTTAGCACGTTGAACTGCTGCTCGATATTTTACGACTTCGACAAACGGACTTTTATCGACTTTACGCGTTTCATCGATTAATATCGCACTCACTTTTTCTCGAGGTATTCATTTTGCTCGAGCAACGTATGTAAATATGTCGGAATAATTATTCCGATGGATGGAAAACTGGTGTAATCAACACGGTGCGTTCTATGAGTCGGATATCGTTGACGTCTTCTACTGCGGCATGAGCGTTCCTTCGATACTCTTCGATTGTTTTACTTATCGATACCTATCGATACTTATCGAGTGAGAAGGCGGAAGTGAGAAAAAAGAAGACTATAGCCCTAGTTATGTTAGGCATGGAATTTAGGTGTATAGAGAGTGATTCGTGAAATGAAAGTGGATAATAAAATTCTGAGATCCGATGGAATTTCTTTTTGCTGTCTCTCTCTCTCTCTCTCTCTCTCTCTCTTTCTCTTTCTCCCTCTCTCTTTCTCTCTTTCTCTCTGTCGATCGGTTGTACATTTTAACGATTTGAATTTCCGCGCGGTTGGAGAACGTTATCGATAGAAATTTGTATATCCGAGTTCCGTGATTATGGAGAAGTAACTAAGAAGTCAGTAATTAGTTACGAGAATTCCTTGCCTCGTTGGAGAATAATGCAAATCACTTTCACTTTCATCCTCAAGGAAAAGCGTGAATTCGAGCAACTTCAATTTTCCATAGTCGTTCTCTCGGCAAAAATTGTTTTGTTTCTCTTGCAGTCGTATTTCGTTAACAACTTTGTCAAACCTCGTTTCTCGGTGTGTTTGATCTTTATTAGCATCGCATAATTTCTGTAGATGCAAAGAGGTTGCATAGAATTATTGTGCCATCGTGAAGACGTTTTATGCCGCGATGGTGTTCCTCCGAGATGTGTTAAAATATAATCTACAGTTTGCACTTTATACCGGACTGTTTCGTAATCGTGTCAGACAGTGATTTTAATTTAAAAAAAGGAAAGAAAAAAGTTTCTTTCGCTACAATGAACGATACAGACATGTTGATATCGAACAGCCATCGCTGTGTGCATAGAGGATTAAAAAAATATCCTAGTATCGATAAAAAACTATGGGATCCAAGTAGTAGATGGATTCTGCAGTGGGATAATATTGTTAAGCACCCAGGTGCTAGAGCAAGAGGATGCCATTGTGATATTCACAAACCACCATGGCTCTATCCAGATCTAGGTACAAAATCCTTTAGAAAAAAATTTTAATTAAAAAAGACATTCTGACCATAGTAAAGTTGAATATTTTTATTATATACTTAAAATTGATCCCTGTAATCTTATGCTTTTTGATATATTTTGTTCCAGTTGGGAAGAGTACCGATGAAACAGACAGAGCAGTGAGTATTAGTTTAAAGTATTTAAACTGTAATATGTTTACGAGTTTAAATTCGTAAAATAATGCGAGATAAATTTAAATATTTTAGATCAAATCAGCTCCTGTGAAAAGATCGACTATTCCTCCAAAAAGAGGACAATTCGGTCCAGCGAAAGCTTCATCTTCAGCTCTAGGTACACATGGTTTCTGTACAAACCAGATGTTAATAGCAATTCCGTATATAAACCGATAACATCCAAGTATAAGGATCACTTTTTTTATTGTTTTATTTTAAGCATGGTATATTAATACTTATTTGATACAGGTATATTCTGGAATAATTTTTAATTTATAGTCCGCTGATATATATAGATACATTAGCCGAATTTGTATTAGTAACCGTAACATATTGAATTACTTTACAAGTGTACTTACATATACGTGTAGAAAATTCGGGATAAAAATAGTACTATGTAAATTAGATCTCAAAGTTTTAATTCAGTCTAATTTATAGTTTCCTAGTGTTACGTTTAATTAACGTTTTTTATTTATAAATTTTTATTAGCTATTCACCTATTATGTTGTACGTAAATCAAAGCGCTTTCTGTACTATAAGTGCTTTATTTATATACGAAACGAGTATTTTGGTTATTTTACTTGAATGTCGTGGTTGTTCTTTAAACGACTGAAATTAACATTATGGAAGCACATGTTCCTCTTACAATCAGTGCACAGGTGTTATGAAGCGTGCTAACATTACAGCTCTTGCTTTCTCCTACTGTGGCTCGACATTTCGTATAATATTAATAATATTTTTTCCAACTATGTACTGGCAAAGTGTCGATAAACTGTTGACGTTTCGATGACGAGAATGCTAATTATTCGCTTGCATGACAGCTCAGCCTGGTAGCACACCTTCCACGGTTCCAAGGGCTACAACCGTCAAAAGGAACGTGTCAGTAAAATGGACATCGGGTATCTAAAACTTCATTGGCATTACTAATTTTGTATTATTATATCATGATGGTTTTCATGCAAATTTTTATACTTTTGTTAAATGATTTTAGCTTTTCTTTTTTTGTCATATTCCCCTCGTCTTATTCTGATTGCCCATCATGATATAAGTACAAAAAAAAGAAATTTTTCAAAATCGATCAAGTTAATATTCATCATCATTTGAATTCAAATGATTTAATTTGATTTAAACCTTTTATACAAGTTGCTTGGTCTTCTTTCATTTGCATCATTTCATGCGAGCGTAAAATTCTATAGATAGCTATACATTTGTAATCTTTTCTAATTGCACTGCTTTTTATGTCACTCCTATTTAACAAATGCTCATGTGTCATAAGGTATCGTATAAAATGTATGCGAAAATCTTTGTAATTTACAAACCATTAACAAATTTAAAGGTAAATTTAAATTACCATAAGAAGATTCATAAAACTTGCTGAAAATTTATTGTACGCATTATACTATGCGTAAGCATTATAGATAACATTGTTCATGTATTTCAGTATTTAATTTATTCGTTAATATAGACATAAACGTGTATAAAATTAATTTATACATGTATATAGGTCAAGCTGGTGCTGTCGACGAGGAAACCTTCCTTACAGCATTCGAAGATGTGCCATCCGTTAATTTGTTTTCCGCAAAAGATCTCGAAGAGCAGATGAAAAACATAAAAGATAATGTTGGTGATGATAAAAAAGATTGGAAGCAAAGGACCGAAAGTGTATGTATTAAGATAACATTGATCTAACGCTAATTAATTTAAATTAATGATACATGATATTAATTGAATTATCTTACAGATGAAAAAATTAAGAGCGATCATAATCGCGAATGGTCCGAGTTACGAAAACTTTTTGGAAAATTTGAAAAGTATACAAAGAGCTTTTGAAGTTGCTTGCACGGATCTTAGGTCGCAAGTGGTAAGGGAGGCGTGTATTACCTTAGCATTTCTTAGTCAACAGTTAAAAAATAAATTCGCTAGTTTTGGAGAAGCAGTCTTACTGACTTTAATGAACCTTATACAAAATAGTGCCAAGGTGAGACTTGATATTAATTAACGTCAACGGCGATGGAAAGGAATTGTGATAATATGGAAAAACTCACATTGACAATTTTTCACATTTAGGTTGTGGCAACAGCTGGTGCCGTAGCAGTAAGGTTTATTCTTCAAAATACACATAGCAGTCGTTTTGTGCCAATTATCACATCATGTTTAAGTCACAAAAGTAAAGACCTTCGTCGAGCATCGTGCGAATATCTAAATCTAATTTTACAAATATGGCCTACCCAAATATTACAAAAACACGTGACGATATTGCAAGATACAATCAAGAAAGGTATCGCAGACTCAGATTCGGAAGCAAGAGCTTTTGCTAGGAAGTAAATATTATTTATTGTTTTTTCTATGTTTACTTCGTTAAAAAGTTTTAGATTGCATTTCAAATATTTTCAGATCATATTGGGCATTTAAAGACCATTTTCCAGAACAAGCAGAAGCACTGCTCAATAGTCTCGATACTGCATACAAACGATCGTTGATGTCTCTCAGCAACAGCGGTAGTATTAACAGTTTAAATGTAGTCACGAGATCGGCGAGCGTTAGTCCTCGAACATCCAGACCAGTAATGAGTGCTACAGGTATATCGTTTTGTTTTTATATAATTACCAACAAATAGTATTTAGAACAGATAGGGACTGCTGTAGATGTAAATGCAGAGACATAAATAACACAACAGTGCTATATATAAAGTACTTCTCACTTTTTTTCATGCTGCTTTTGTGACTCTCCTTTACATTAAACGTATGAAGGTAGTACGGAAAATTTGCATCAAACTTCGGGTCAACCACATGGCCCGCTCAGACGTACTCCGTCCTTGCCACGGTCTTATCGTCAATCTGGTATCCCAATTCTCCAAAGACCCACTGATAATCATTGTAATTGTTACCTTCTCGTCCGATGCTTTAAAAGATCACCGCGATTTAGAACGTGCACTGTTGCATCCCAATGCATATGTTATCATTTCCTTTTTTCTATTTTTATAATTATTTTTTAAACTTTTCTTCAGATCGTGGTACTCCGGGTGTTAGGTCTACTAGCGCAATAGATTTACAAGCTGCACAAAGAGCTAAGGCAAGGATGATGTACGCGAACATGAGCAGACAAAAAGCGTCCCTCCGTGAGTAACCATCAATAAAATCTCTTATATGTGCTATTATTATACGTTTCGAATGAGTTGCATCTATAATCTTTTCATTTAGCACGTCCAAGTAAATCGCCAGATACAACTGCTGTTGCCAGTCCAGAAAGGAGTGCAAGAACAAGAACGAGAGTGTCCGGAGTGTCTCAATCTCAACGTAAGTTCAGAGAAAGGGGAAAATATATTTTTATCTTTATAACAAAAGAAAATCTAATTTAATATAATTTTTATGCTATATATAACAGCTAGCAGTAGATCAGGATCCCCATCGTCAAGACTGAGTTATGCAACGTATAATCGTGAAGGAGAATCGTTAATTGCAAGACCTAGACGGTTATCTGGTCATGGAATCAGAAGTACTGGTAACAGTCGTGAACCAAGTCCACAGAGGTTTGGAATGGATAGAAGTTTTGCAAGTAAAATACGGTATGGTATTTACCTTTATGTTTTTATATGTTGTCATTTAATCATTATTTTTACTTCATTTGTATGCATTCTGGATTACAGAGGCAGAAGTTTACATATGTCTCCAACGGATAGGCCTCAATCTAGACCGGTCATGGCACAGAAGATGTTGCAACAGTCACGAGAAGCAGAATCAGCATTAGCAGATGCGCTTACATTCGAAAACATTGATAATTATACAAGAACACCAAGAGGAAAAGGTGACCACAGCGATGATAGTGAAACCAGCAGCATATGTTCTGAACGAAGTATGGATAGCTTCAGACGACCAAACGATGTAAGTATCAGGTAATGGTGTGGACACTGACGAAAAATTGGAGTAGCCATTATCCCGTCATGATTATAGTTGAAGAGAAAGTAACGTTGCTTAAGATAAAGCAAAATATCCAATGTCCAATACAAAATACATTGATTTCATGTACATTGTAACAAGTATCACTTACGCATTAGCAGTTTAGATATATGATTCATATAGTTACTGTAACATAACGCTTTCTTATTTTATGTTGACTTAAATAATGCTTATCTAATTTTTATCTAATAAAAATAAGTGCTTGCTATATTATTTTTATTTGGGAGTTTTTATTTTTTACGCAATTTAAAGTTGCTTTAAACATATTTGTTTTTAAACACTGATGAGTATATAATCATATGCTATGTGTTCGTATACAAGCGTTATTTTCCATTTTGCGCAAACTGATCTACTTAAGACACTTGGATAAGAATTACTTCTGGGATTCAACAATCAGAGTAGAACTAAACCATAAGCTTAAAAGACAAGCTTTCAGCGCCCCAGATTGTAGATAACGCATGTCTGGTTTTTTCTTTTGGTTTTGTTGCGGCGTATTTGTTTGGTTTGGACTAACGCGATGCGCCGTTCTGTTCTCCATATCTGTCCATCGTCCATCTACGTATTAGTCGTTCTCATGGAGTGGCTCTCAGCAAAGACTGTATCGTGATATGTGGGATCAATCTATCCCCAAGGTTTGTTAAATTTAATATTCATTTCCATTTATTTCATACATATTCGATATCTTACACTATACTCTTCGAAGAAGTCAATATAAAAAATATTTATATTGTTCCTGAGACTTTTTATATGATTCTTTGTAATAAATATTATCATAAAGAAGAATAACTTTTTAATTTACAGGATATTAAAGAGATTATAGAAAATTGCGCACACAAGCACTGGGGCGATAGGAAAGAAGGGTTAGTCGGATTGCAACATTTTCTTTCAAATGGGAATACGCTTACAGCTACGGAATTGCGCAAAGTAACGGATATTTTTACAAAAATGTTCATGGATTCACATACAAAAGTATTTAGTTTATTTTTGGACACACTGAATGAATTAGTAGCTACACATAGTGAAGATCTTGGTGACTGGCTCTATGTCTTATGCGCAAGACTTTTGAATAAGTTAGGCACTGATTTACTTGGGTCGATACAAGCGAAAATTCACAAAACACTTGATGTTGTTAGGTAAGATTGGACTTGAGAATATCAAAGTTAATATATGTGTGATTATTGTGTTATTGTTATTGTTGGGTTATTTTAAATGATTGTTTAAATTTCTTTGATTCTTTAGGGAATGTTTCCCAGGCGAACAACTTTTACCTGCTGTAATGAGGTATTTGACAGATCCAACACAAACTCCAAATTCTCGTGTAAAAGTAGCTACACTCATGTTCATTACACAAATAGCAGAAACGGCAGAGCCATCTGCTCTTAATAATTCTGCAGGAACAGCGTTGGCAAGGTTACTCGATTGGTCAAACGATGTTAAAAGTCAAGATGTTAGAAGACATGCACAAAATGCTGTTATATCGCTATATAATTTAAATCCTCCAAAAGTGACTATGCTACTAGCCGATTTACCGAAATATTATCAGGCAAGATATTATATACAGAGACTATGTTTGTTACAAATAAATTTTACTTTTTATTAAATGTATTTGAACATTATAGGAGGCGGCGCTGCCATTAGTGCAGAATCACTTAAGAAAATCATCAGGTTCAAGTAATCCTGCATCCCCTGGAACTCCACCTCCAAGAGCACAGAGTTCACCAGCACGTTCGAAAGGTAAAAGTGATATCGATAATGCGGATGAAAATTTAGAAGAAGTTTACAAGTAAGCTACATTCTTAACTCAATGGTCTTGTAATTTATAATTTTTAGTCATTTTAATTTTTAAGTATTTCTCACAGATCTTTAAGACGTACAACAGCAGAGATACAAAATTATGGTTTTGAACGTTTAGAAAGAGCAACTACTAGCAAAGACAGTGGAATTAGTAATATGGCTGATGTAGAGGAAAAAATGGAAGGACTTACATTATGCAATTCGGTAATTAAATAATCAATATAGTTTTAGGAATGCACTACATTTCAGATACACATAAGCATGTTCTTAGTTATTTATATTATTAGGGTCGTTCGTCTTCTGTTTCTTCGCCAACACAAAGAGGTCGATCTGTTACTAACATTACAGTTAACGGTTCAAGTGATACGATCGCGGGAGATCTCATCTTACCTCAAGAAAACAATGGTTACAAAACGCATGGTACGTACAGTATTATTTGAAGGAAATATTTGTGTAAGTTTGATTTATTTAATATTTATCATAGGATCATCACCTGATTCGATAAAGAGGCCAGAAATTTTAGATAATATGATTAAAACATTACAATCCAAAATGACACAAACTGAAGAAAAAGTATCAGCTTTACAAGAATTTCAATTATATGTTCGTGAAGGAGATGCCTTATATATTAAACAGAATTTCAAGTATGCAGTATAATAAGAAACGTATCTCTTATTACAGTTACGGAAATTCTAACTAGTTATTTTTACATTTTAGAAAACTGCTCAAAACGTTACTAGATAGTTTAACTAACGATAACAAGAAAATGCAAGTAGAAGTACTTCAAACATTAATTGACATGCTTAAGTGCCCAGAACTCGTAGACAGTTTTTCCGTTTATCCTGAATTACTGGTTTTAAAAGTGATTAACACATATAAGTTAGACGATCAAAAACAAGATTCTTCCAGTAGTAGTAATTCGAGATCTCCGGTGAGTGTATAAATTAATTTCATAGTTTATAAACAATTTCCTATACATTTCTTCCCATTAGGTTCTTTGGATGGCAGAAAAATGCGCTGCAACGATAGCAATGGTCCTAAAACCGGAACAAGTAATTCATTTAGTGTCGACTATAATAACTACTGAACCATATCCTTTGAATATGGGCGCGATAAAAATGCTTCACAAAGTTGTGGAACATTGGGGTCGCGATGCAATAGAACCCCATTTGTCAAAGGTTATGCCCGGTCTTATAAAAGTAAGTTGGAATATGTCTTATAGATGCCCAATTTACTTTCTGTATATAATATACGAGATTAATTATTATATTTCTGAACAGGCGTACGACGATAACGAAAGTGCAGTACGCAAAAGTGCTGTATTTTGTATGGTAGCAATACACTTGGCAGTTGGTGAAGAGGTTTTAAAACCTCATCTCAGCTGTTTATATACCAGTAAACTGAAGCTTTTAAATATTTACATACAACGCGCGCAACAAGCGAACAGTCAACCAGCAAGTCCACGTAGCAATAGCAAGAATTAACTAACATCAAATTCCGCGACACTTAGAATCGCGATACTTAAAAGATTTGTTCGTTTGGGTGCAAGGCATGAACGAATGCTAGTTAGCTTCCTCAGTAAGTCCAATCCGTGACGTCTACCATTGAACGATCGAAAGTTGTCGAAGTTTTTGATTATGATAGACTGATCCGTATGATTTTACGACAAGGTGTGTGCGACATACCTGAACTCCTGACAGTGATGTTGCACAAAAACAAGTAGTATGCAAGTTATTTACGCATATTGTTTTGTTTGCCAAAAATTTATACCTGTTGCAAAGAAAGAATCGCTTTAGTCGTAAGATTTATTCACTCGTAATATGTGTATTTTTTATTCATACGTTTACATCTTGATATTAAGTTGCAGCGTTGTTTCTCATGAAAAAAAGAAGAAAAGCTTTAATAAAAATCTCTCCTTTGTATCTTATGAAACTCGTGAAAAATAGTATCGTGCCTCTTGTCCACTTTGTGATTTTGTATACTTTGAATTTTGTTCGCTACTTGTTAGGATATTATTGTATATATTTAGGTATTTCAGTGTATTGTTGTGCATCTCTTAGAGTTGATTGCGACAGTTTAACAGGAATGTGATTCCACTGACTTAAACGTCTATCCGAACTGAATAAAAATATGAGATGACAGTGCGACATCACTGCCGAGAGACTCATATTCTTTATAAGCAGAATGTACGTGAATGCCAGTTATACTGATACCGAGAAACATTGTGTAAAAATACATACGCTTGTTCGCCGATTTACAAACATCGCTAATAGTATCGCACGTGGCAATAGATTGCTGTGCACCTTGCAATGAATAAGTTAGAAGAAAAGTAAAGACTCAAAGGTATCATCGTGGAAATTTCAAAATGAAAACGGGCGATGTATTTGATGTCGCCTTTGTACGATCAGTGAGAATGAATAAATTTCATATAAAATATTTTTTTCGCATTTCAGCATTAACAAAACACAGAAAGCTCGTACAAGTATTGTATTTGTTAATGATTTACATGTACGCATAATACGGTTATCACGAGAGCTTTTATATAAATGTAAATCGAAATGTCGAAAAAGAAATCATGAATTTATTTGTTCAAAATCCGTGTGCTAGTCAGATTTCCAAGGACGCACAATGACCCAAGAGATGCAGGCAAGATAGTAGGAAGTTTCTTGAGGGAAAAAACAGGAATAATACTTGAACACACAGTTTGCGAGAGAAACCGGGAGAATGCGATAGAGTGAATGAGAGAGATTACATGTGACGAAATCAGCAAAACTAGAGTAGGAATGATTAGGAGAACGATATTCGAAACTAACGTTAATATTTAAACTATTCGTCACGTTGCCAATAATTAAACAAATGCTAAATCAAAGCTAACATAACGAGTTTAGTAACATTCTGTGCCATTGTCATTTTTGTTTTATTTATATAAGGATAAAATTATATTTAAATATATAGATCACCCTTCGTCTTTTCTTACTAATAGGTTGAAATAACAGAATAATTTCATGATCAAATTGAAAGTGAATCGTCGAAGTATTAAAAGGAAAAATGAAATAGATACTGTGTATTAAATTTGACCATATTCTTCAGACGTGAATATTATGCATAAATTACGTTCACGCATAAGTATTTTCAAGATTAAAGCCGTAGTCTCACCTAATTCAATATAATAAAACATGTTTCCAGGTGTGTTCCGATTTTCAATAGGTGGCCAAATAGTGCCAAAAGTGGTATCGGTAATGTGCGGCAGAAATGCAATTGAATTCGAACGTTCACGTGTCAAACTATTTCTTTTACTTGGTGCCTTTGGCGTCGTCAGGACGAGATTTGTTCGGGGATCGTCTTTCATCGTCTTGTAAAAAAAAGAACAAGAAAAAAGAAAAAAAAAAGGAAAAGCTATGGTTGAAGCGATTGTAGTAGTCTGCAAAAGTAGCCAGAGAGCTCCTGTATTTGCTGGTGTTGCGTAAAACAGTGATCAAACTTTTAAGAGTTTCTCATTCGTTATTGCGATGCAAAAAAAATATCATATTCATCGTGTTCATTTTGCTAATTTGTCATAGAACACGAAGAACATACGTTTTGGTGGATTCATACATATATCATCGACATCGTCTAATAATGTGTCACGTCTATTTTCATAAATTGCGGTAGTTGCGGGATAAATTATACGGACACGGATCATTTTTACCAATTACGGTTTGATTACAGGCAGGATGAATAGTTTTTCGTTCACGGGAAATCGCTAGGATGATTTACAATATTCCCGGAATGAATTTTCAAGGGAAGAAACGAGTGGAGATATTTGTAGGATTTAGTGTGATTACCAATCTCTTTAATATAAACCTTTTAACGTTAAGTTTGTCGATATCCTTTTCGCAATTCGTTCGTCATCATCGTATTATTTAAAAATGATTTAGGGTTTGACCTGGTGTGTGCGGATCGTGTATATATATACATATTATTAAATAATATAGAACCTAATTGTAATATTAATACGGATTAGGTAGCTCACCGTCACTGCCTGCAGCGTTGGTCGTGCTGAGAATGCGGAACTTGGCACTGCTGGACTCTGCGTAGTGTCGCGATCGTTTATAAAGAAAAAAAAAGAGGAAAGCTTGTTTTGTTAAGTTTTTGAACATTATTATTGACAACAGGATTTATATTATATTTACTAATGCGTGTATGATACGTAGGTATGAACATATTATGATATATTATGAAAATCCTTGCCACTCCATTTGCATCACGACGATGATCAGGCTATATGAATTTAGTCCATACGTATAAAATTATTCCTTATACTGGCGGTGTACTTTTGCTTTTTTATTTGAAGCGATGATAAAAGAAGAAATGGAAAACAAGAACAAAAACAATTCATTATGATTTGATGAAGATCAACGTATCTTGATATCTGCTAAAAATGAGACACGCTTTAATTGTTACATACGATTAGACGGAAGTGACTAAGTACGAAGATGTTTGTCGTGAACAATCGTTGCGATGTAAAAAGGATATATGTTTTCACGTGAAACCGTGTGGCGTCAATAATCGAATTGGCGTATGAAAATTAAATTGTAGGAACATTTCCTTTCTCTGTAATGAGGAATGGCCGTTTTGGTAATCGGTATTATTATTATTATTATTATTATTATTATTATTATTATTATTATTGTTA